CTGTTTTCTGTATTTTTTTCTGTTTTCACTATTCTTAAAACGTTTTATCTTGCAAGTTAATTTTTTTTTTTATTTAGTTTTTTTCACTTATTTCCTGTGCTGCTCCTTCAAAGCATTTTGGTATCTTGTCTAAGTTATTTTTAGTCCTTCTACTTTGGTTTGCAGGTTCTTTTTTATTTAGTTTTTTTCACTTATTTCCTGTGCTGCTCCTTCAAAGCATTTTGGTATCTTGTCTAAGTTATTTTTAGTCCTTCTACTTTGGTTTGCAGGTTCTTTTTTATTTAGTTTTGTTCCCCTTGCATTGATTATTCACCTTCCCTCAGTATTCCGGTTTGCACTCATTCACTGCTGTTCCCTGTTTCCCTTTTAAGCTCTACTGGATCGCGTATCAGTTTCCTACCTTAATTCGGTATAAAAGCTTACTATTTCCATTTATCATTACTCATTACTGGTTATGCCAGTCACTCTCTCTGTTCTACACGTCGTTCTCTTTATGTGTAAGCACAATTTTCTGTTGTAATAATTACATTTAGAATTAAAACTTTCTGGATTAGCTCCTACTCTGAAACCAAAATGCAGGACATATCTGCTTTTAAAAAAAAAGAAGAAGAAAATAACTTATTTTCACAACAGATTCTTTTAATAAAGAATTAATTATAAATACCATGTGGCCTTTGGCTCCTTAGGAGAATGTAAGGAAAGGAAAAGAAAAACTTATCCCAAAAAAGAAGGAAAACATAAGGAATGAAAGAAGGAATGAAAGACATAAGGGACAAAAAGGAGCAGACAAGCACATAAAAAAAAACTAAGAATCAAGCAGAGAAAAGAAAAGAACGACAGAAGGAAAAGGACACAAGGATGGAATAAATGGATGAATGGAATTATATCATATGGCGGTATAATACATATTGTATGTATCCTAGAGCATAATACTTGAACACTATTTCTGATCTCTTCTGTAGTAGGTTTGTGTTAGGACTATGGGGTATGCACAGCGTGTCCATTGTCTTCATTTTTTTCTTACACTATTTTTTAAATACACTTTTTTAATATGTGGAATACAATGCAGCTCAAATGTAAATAAACCTTCTTATGCAAGGCTGTGTAATACTTCCACTATATCTGCATGCTGCAAAAATGATGCGCAAAACTACACCAAATTAAATCTAGAGAACTGACATCACAAAATCATATTTTCTTTTACGTTTGGACCGTGAAATACAATTTTAGACACACCGACAAATATGGTAACACAAGAAGCATGGCAGCAGGAGAAAGGTTAATAAAACAATTACCCAAGTAAAAATGTTATTATTTTAACAAAAAAAAAATTTGGGGTTTTGTTTTACCCAAAAAACCTTTGATCAAAATAACAAAATAGGGTATGTCTCTCTCCTATAGGGGAAGATAATGGCTTGTCAAAAGGTCCCAACAGAACCCTACTTAAAAAAATATTTGAACTATTTATTTAATGATAACAATCCAGAGAAATTGTTCCTCTAAGTAAGAAGCTTTTACACTTTATGAAAAACATTTTCTACGTTGCATTTATTAAAATGTGGCTCTAGAGGGGTTTAAATGCACAGTCAGGCAAACAAACTCAACTCATTAGCATTTGGTGATAATCGTAAATAGAAGATATCGCATGGTCTACTTAAGCCTTAATCAGGCTGAGCCTTTGTTTGTGTTTGAGGCTTGAAAGTGATTTAAATCACTGCAGGCAGAAAATGTGAGGTAACTGGAGGGAGGAACAGGCCCAGTTTGAGACCAATATGGCCAACAAGGAGACACTGTTGTTTTATCCTACATAAAAAAACACTGACACATTAGTCACTTCTGTCCATACCACCTAGCCTGAGACTATCCTCCTTAACTCCCGTTCTTAATAGTAATGTCTTACCTTCCTTTGCAAAATGCCTACTCTCTTCTTTTCCATTCCACGGCTCTGCTCTCATTCATTTCCTTATGGTAATTTCCATTGATCCGGGTGTAAAAGACTGAAGGCTGAATTAGCACTTTTCTCCCCGCACCCAAACCCACACATAAGCAGTGCGGTTTCTTACAAATGGCTTTCAAATAAGATGCCTTTAAAACAATGTTTGGGCCATCCAAGCTTGAGCAATTAAGTAAGAGCTCAAACGCAGCCCAGCCCTCGTGATCCCGTCAAGATCCGTCAGCTGTGGGCATAAATGTCAAGCTCTACCGGTGTCCTTCTCCATCCACCCTCTCACTCTCTGTTTCTCCACATCCCTCTCACTTTCAAAGCTCTATAAATGTCATTTCATCATGCACTCGTCTTCATTATGAGTGTTTTTTTCACCTCGCTCCCCTCTTTGTTGCCCTCTCATGTGCTCCGATTTTTCCCCTTTTTCTCTTTCACATCTTTCCTGTCATATTCTCTACAGTCCTACCTGAACCTCTCCCTCAGTTTTCCCCATTAAGGAAACACAAAATTGAATAAGCTCACACTGGCTCCCTTTTGTCTTGTCTCTTTAAATCTTGGTAGTTAGTGATGTTTCAAGAGGACAGTTCAACATGTGCAGCACTTCAGCTTTCTCAGATGCAGGGAAAAGGTGTGCAAGCTTCACCTTGGAGCTGTATTCACATCCCTGGAAATTTAAGCATTCACTTTATTGTTGTATTTTTTTGGTAGACTAATACAAAGCTGCATATAATTGGATGGTGAGAGGATGAGAAAGAATTGTTTTCAGTTTCTACAAATTAAACTGAGGAGTGAGGCATGTATGTGTATATAGGCCCCTTTAATTTTCCCCTAAATATAATCTAGTAAAGACTATTCCTTTCATAGGATACTTAATTATTAGATGTAGTCCAACTGGGTTATGGCATTTGATTTTACTCAGGGAGAAAAGTGGATCTTGAATTCAGAGAAATACCCCTCGTTTGGATCCCAAATAAATCACAAAGTAGGCCAATTGAAACTCAGGGAGAGGTGCAAAGATCCTCAATGAAGATGGGAAAATCTGCAGACTTTGTAGCAAATTATTAGTTGCACACCTCGGTTTTATGCCATTTTGTAACAATTGTAAGAGGAAGGCCTGCTGCAACAAAATCATAATAGATCAATGTTACAGTCTTCAACCAGCCATGTGGAGGAGGGTGTTCTGATCAGACAAGATGGAAATTAAATTGTATGGCCACTGTGCAAAACTAGCATGGGATGAGAACTAACACTAAAGAACAGTGGTGGGCGGTCGGGGCCTTCAAAACCTTCTCTGCTGGCCTAAAATCAATCCGAAATCCTGAACTATATTAACAACCTAAACTTTAATTCTCTTCTTTTGAGCTGAAGTAATTTATTTCAGGCATTCAGTTATCTTAATTTCTTAGCGTTGCTCATGGCTGCACTGCCTCAGTTTCATTCATCTGGTTTTTATATTTTTGTCCAATCAGATTTTCTCCGTGTTTCATTGTTGTGCCAATCAAATCTGACCAGAGCCTTCAGAATCAGTATAGATGCCAAAGGTACTGTACCTGAACAGTATTAGTGAACAATATTTCTTTTGATTTTGGAAAAGTTCATAAAAAAAGAGGAAGGAAGGCACTGTAGTGCTGTGAAATTAAAAGAACAACTGAGAAGAATTAATAGAAACAGTTGCACAGGGAGTGATTTTTGCTGCAGCCATGAAACTCAGTCAGCATTAAACCATGTGGCAACATCGAATGGATCTACCTCTCCCCATAAATGTCAGATTGGCTGAAAACAACATGGAGGACAATAATCGAACGGAACATTTCATTAGAACTTTAGTGGCAGAGTAAAAGCACAGGTGAATAAGGACCGAATATTGATTTTGAGAGATGCATCACACAGGGCAGCAAGAACATCAGCGTGTGGCTGATAAGCCACATAGCAACCAAGAAAGGAGAGTAAATTAGCTTCCTGTGCAAGTACCCAAAAAGCAGCACTTGTGACAAGCCAGGAATGATGAACAACTGTTTTGTGGGTAGCTTTTATTTTTCTGAATGCGTGCTTGTGACAGAGCAAGGCAGATTTGCGTCCTAATCAAAGCAACTAAGGGTGGACGATGTGATGTGCACACAGACTGATGATTAATGAAACTGATGCAAATGCCCTATTTCCAGTATGAAGAGAGAGAAAAAAGGTTGGCAGATAAATACCTTCATCCCTTGGTCTGTTCATGGAGGACTCATCATTTTTTTTTGTCAGCGGACCTGAAGTTTGGAAAAAAGAGAAATGAGACAATTAGTAAAAAAACATTAATTTAGTTGTTGTGTGCAAATATGAAAAGCTTTTTATAATGACTCAATGTACAACAATGTACAAGGGCGAGACAATGCTTTATTGCCATACTCTTTAGTTGTAGTTTAGAATTTGAAATATTTAGACTGATCAAATCTGTGATTAAATATTCTATATCAAAATTCCTCTTTAGAAGCAGATGTATGGTTGATTTGATTAATATGTCTGTAGTTCTGCTGTATAGTTTCTGTCTTTGCACAAACTTTTTTTTTTGGCACTGAGTCTTATTAAGTGCCATTTAGGTTAATATTGGATCAAAATGGGGTGCAGTAGAAGGGTACCCACCCAGGGCACCAATAAGGTAAGAACTACCTTTGTCATAACCTTGCTCTGATTTGTTTCAAATACTTAGCATATCTCTTTTCAATGAATCTTTGTAAAAAAAAAAAATAAGAAGAACAACAACAAAAAAAGAATAAATACATGAAAAAGAAAAAAAATCTAGAGAAGCAATTGATCTGTCTTTGAGTTGGGAAGCAGAACAGAGATGCTTAGATGCTAAATGTTTTGCATAGATTTAAATATAGGCATTCCTCTGCCTAACATCAATAATTGCTAGACATTCTAAATAGCTATTTTTCACAACCATAAACTGTTAGCCTGCAAGTGGACTTTAAGGATTTGTCACAAAAGGTGGGTTGGTTTTGATAAGAGCACATCTTGCTAACTCATAGTAGTTGTGACAAGATTTTCCACATAAAGATCAAAGAGAAGCAGCGCATTAAGCATCGATGGCACCAACAGTAAACTGCTCCATAGAGCAAACCCAGTAACAAGCATTTGTCAGTGTGACCAACCACTGTCGTGCTGTGTCACCCTCTGTTATGCCTAAATAATAAAGATTCCATCGCTTTTTTTGTTTCAGTCAGTGGTCGTTTCCATCAATAAACAATTAAGTAGCTGCATTTTGTGTCATGCACAGATACTGTCCCCGTGACATCTATAGGTCATTAAAAGGATTTGTGTTCACATGCCTACTGCTCCTTACACGTCTAATGTAAACACACAGCTGCAGAGGGGAACATGCTGCACGGGAATCTGAGAAGGTAATCAACATATATTAAGAAAGACTAGAAAAGTAGCAGCCTACAAACGCTTTAAATTGTATTGCTTTACAAAACATGGCTTTAGCGTTTTATTTTACGAATACAGACCATGCAGCGCCCGGTGACCTGTGTGGAGTTAAGTCTTTTACTCAGGGGTCCAGAGTGGAAGTCTGTGGGAGTGGGGCTTGAACTCAGAACCTCAGGATTACAAGCTATATGCCATAACCACTAGCACCTTTGTATCTTTAATATGCAAGTAGCACATTAAAGATAAACAAGATATTTTTTTTAAGTATTTTATAAATAAAATAAAATTGGAAAATGTGCTTGATGTGCCGTGATAACATAAAATAAAATCCAAGGCAAACAACTGGAAGTACCATAATTAGTCCAAAAGTTCACCTTTATTTGTTATAATTTAAATAGAGCTATTCGGTGAATATGGAGGGTGCCACAATACGATAAATAAATCACTTAAGAAATAACCATCTTAAGGTATTGTGGAGGATTTTTTTTTAAAAGACCCGCCCTGTCCACTTAAAAAAAATTGCGCGTGCAAGAGCATGCACAAGCCCGTTCTCCTCGTTTAAAATGTGCTTTTCTCATAGCTCATACAAGCTCACTGTGTCCACATATAGCGGGGAGTATATAGTGGACTTTATAGCAAATTCAGTTAACTGACCATTTGGACAGACAATCACTTCTTTTTGCTCCGTTGGTCACATAACTCCTCCGCCATCGAGCGGTTCCTGCACCATCACTGTTATTAGTCGCCGCTGTCAGGTAACGACAGCCTATGGCAACAGCAGGCCGCTGTGACAGCAAATCCCATAATGCTTTATGAGGATAGCTCTCTGCGCAAAGCATTCTGGGAGATATATGCCTCTTCTGAGGGCATTTTCAAAGAACCGCGGTGGGAAAGGTGAGCTTCAACGACTGTCTGAAACCATAGCTCACCACACATATGCGGCTGAAAGTGCGCATGCACAGAAAAAGATAGCTAATGGGACGAGCACGTAGAATGGCCTTACGTAAACATATCAGCAGAATGATTGAAAATTAGGAGGACCACTTATTTAGATGATCCACCCGGAAATAAAAGATTGTCATCTATACCTTTAAATATGCCGTGAATCTAGTAAGACTGGAAATAAATAAATGTATTTCATATGTAACTAATTATGTATGCCTAGGTTTAATATTTTGATTTTATTTTAAGAAGTAAATGTAGTCATTTCATGATTTGATTAAATATTTCATGTTCCTGCATAAAAACAATGAATTTATTTAAACTGTCATGCATCCACTAAAGTCAAGGAGGCGGGACTAGGGCTGCTTCCAAAGAAAGCATGATGTCTGATTGGCTGCTTCACATTGAACAAAATAAGGCAACTTCTTCCTGGTTTTCTGTTACACTTAAGTCAATTTTATCACTAAAATGGAATAATAAGTTTAAAATGGTGTTGCAGTTTATTTACAAGACATTGGGCAAGCAAGAGAAAGAGACATGAGCGTAATCATAGCCCTCACACACTGACTAACGCAGGCTCTCACTCTATAATTAACTTTTTAGAATTAATAGTTTTAATAAATTCATGACACATTTAAATAATAATTCCCTAAGTGTTTTATTTTTTGTATTGTGGTACTCATCACCCTCCCTATGTGAAGGTGTAAAAGGTTTGTTAGTGAAATGAAAAAACAGCATCTTGAGGCCTCAGTATTATAAAAGGCACATTAGGGAAAGTGTATGTTTCTACAAGACTTAAACCGACGAAGAAGGCAAGCTTTAATCACAGAAGCAGTGAAGAGGCTAATCAGAACCCTACAGGAGCTCCAGAGATCCTCAGCTCTAGTTGGAGAATCATGCACTGTTGTCATGTACTCTGAAATCTGGCCTTTATGGATGCTTGACATAAACGCAAGCCATTGCTGAAAGAAAGCAATATAAAGGCATGTTTACACTGTGCAAAGAGCCATAGAGACCGCATCATGACCCTAGGAGAACTTTAAAACCTACGTGGAAATGCTAGCTGTGGATTCCACACCAAAAACAGCAATTCCTGAGCTCACTTGAGAAACAAACAAAAAGCAACACAGGGGGCACTGGATTCTTATCATCCACATCCAAGTGCAATACAGAAGAGGTAGATTTCTAAAAATACATGGATATTATTATTTTTTTTTTTTTTCGGAAAAAGCTGCCATTGTCTTTGGCTAACACTATCATTAGTCATCCTGGTATAGTCAGAGAGGGGAAGAGCAAGAAAACAAAGACAGATGCAATCAGCTGGGCTTGCTTAAATAGAAAACTTTTAACCAATTGGGCTGTCTGATCTGATTGATTTTTTCTGCCTGTGCCATAATGACATGTGTTGTAAATTGGTGCTATAAAAATAAATTGAATTGAATTGAGAAATTGTTGATGAGATCCCCTATGGTTTAGAGATTTAGGGAGATATAAGATGTTTTCGCATTGACCAGCAGTTTTTTACTTGGTCTGGTGCAGTTTCATAGACACCCTGTCTCTAGCAGTTGCTGTCATGGTGCTCCACATTTAACAGTTTGTTGAAGTTACATTGATTTGAGAGCAGCGCAAACTCTACCAAGTTGCTCAAATCTATACACCAGGGAGGAACCCAAATGCTTTGCAGTGAAACTGGTGCGCCAGTGAGTGTGGAAGGCCACAATGACTGCACATCATCCTGAACGCACTATGAACACTGTTCACAGGAAGATACAAACAACTAAATACAGTACATCCAAAATCTGAAAGCTAAGACGCCTTAGAGGCTACAGACAGCTCGAGTTCATGATCCTCCCCCATAGAAATACAAAAGCTTATGACTTTTACAAAACAAAAAATGTAAGCATTGTGTTAACAAGAAACCACCTACAGTAAAAGCAAATGGCCATGCCTTGTATAATTCCCCCCCAGCTCTCAATGTTGTGGTGCAATCTGTTTGTTGTTCACACATAGTTGCAGTTACATTAAGGATTCTGACAAAGATAAGGCTTATTTTGAAGTTCAATGGATAGAAACACTTTCATAAGGCAATGCGTTACAACTATACATCTCAAGTTAACGTCTCCCTTAAACCAACAATAGGCATGTTTCATTCTCTCTCTATTTGGGTATTTTTGCAGTCCTTTACTTCTCAAAAAAAAACTAAAAAAAAACTTTCCATTTGGGATGCTAGGTTTACTACTTTAACAATGAATTGCTGACATCTCTTCTTTCCCATTGCAGGAAACCTCGTAATGAGGCGTTGGCATGTACCCTTTTCACGGTGCTGCGCATCTATTGACACGGAAGGCACAAGACTTTACTGCATTCCACCATTTCATTCTTGCAATCTCACTCATCCATCTGTATATGGTTTCCTGATAAAAAAGTTTATCATCCATTTAATGGGTGCAGATCAATGCTGAGCAGATTAGCTGCATCCTTTCAGTACCACCATCCAGGCACCAGAACCAGAAAGCACTTACTGCCATAACATGAAGTTGAACAGCCATAGGTCCTGGGCTAGAAAAACTTTTTGACTGCCTGGTAATGGATAGAAAAGCCCATTAGTACTCACAATTGTCAGCGATCCCTCACTACTTAGCATCACTCTAAAACCACACCTTTCCACTTAATGGAGACGACTCTGGTTACAGTTCAGTTCCCATTCCATCTTAAAGAGGGAAACTATATCGGGATGAGCACTTCTCAGGCAGTCACATCCTGTGAGAAACATTAGGATCAAATTGTAGTACAAAACAGACAAAAATAGAAACCTTTTTTTTTTATGTGTTAAATATTCCCTCACTTAAAAAAGTGAACAGTCTATCATTTTTAGCAGCAGCTACATTTCAATGTG